CTTCCAGGAGAGCGTTTGCCCACAGGCTCCGCCTCCTGCGGGAGAACGTCTGCCCACAGGCTCCGCCTCTTCCAGGAGAGCGTTTGCCCACAGGCTCCGCCTCCTGCGGGAGAACATCTGCCCACAGGCTCCGCCTCCTGAGGCAGGCAGAGGTCCACAGGCTCCGCCCACAGGCTCCGCCTCCTGCAGGAGAACGTCTCCCCACAGGCTCCGCCCACAGGCTCCGCCTCCTGCAGGAGAACATCTGCCCACAGGCTCCGCCTCCCGCGGAGGACGTAAACCCACAGGCTCCGCCTCCTGAGGCGGGCAGAGGTCCACAGGCTCCGCCTCCTGCAGGAAAACGTCTGCCCATAGGCTCCGCCTCCTGCAGGAGGACATCTGCCCACAGGCTCCGCCTCCTGAGGCAGGCAGAGGTCCACAGGCTCCGCCCACAGGCTCCGCCTCCTGCAGGAGAACGTCTCCCCACAGGCTCCGCCCACAGGCTCCGCCTCCTGCAGGAGAACATCTGCCCACAGGCTCCGCCTCCCGCGGGGGGCGTAAGGCCCACAGGCTCCGCCCCCCCCAGGCCCCGCCCCCCGCCCCCCCCAGGCCCCTCGGGAGCGGCGTACTTGAGCTTGAGGTCCCGGGTGAGCTCGTTCTGGGTCTGCTCGTACTCCTGGCGCTCCTTGATGTGCTCCCCCTGCTGGTCCTGGATCTCGGCCTTCACCGCCTGCAGCTTGGAGAACAGCTGGAGGCCGGAGGCCCCCCAGGAGCCGTTAGGAAAAGGGGCTCCCAGAGCACATCTGCACTACGGCAACAGCTGAGACCAAAAGCCACCGAAAATAGATCCTGACCCACTTAGTCTGACAGCTTCTCAGCAGCAGAAGCTTTGAGTTTCTGGATCCTTTACTGTTTTTAACCTCTTAACATCAAACTAACCGACAGCCAATCAGAGAAAAGACTTCACCTTCAGTTCTGCATAGCAAACACGTAACTGTCGTATAGATAAGTCGGTTATTTGTTCATATTTGATTTTGTTTTATGTAGGGATGTCCAGCTTTTTTCCCTTCCGATCCCGGCCTTTCAGAGCATGTGTAAACGTTTAAAGTTATTTATTCTATTTACTTAGTTGTCAGACTCATGTTGAACAGGGATTTAGTTTTATGTGTAAATACTGAATGTGTAATTTGATTATTGTTGATGGAGTTACAGCCTGGAAAAAGGTTGTTTGGGACAAAAATACGGACAATAACATCTCCTAAATGTTTGGTAAGAAGACCAGACATGTGTGTATAGATATTGTATTCTATTCGATATAAGAACTTCGTTTTGGTTCTAAATGTTTACTAGCTAACGCGGTTTGTGTTGTTCATTATATCTAGTGTTTGCTAGCAGAAGATATGGAAAAGAATAAGTGCAAATAAGACCTTTGGGAGAGTTTATACACGCGTTGTCTAAAGACCTTTTGGCTCAGACCTTTTTTTTTGGGGGGGGGGGGGGGGCAGCTTGTCCTCTACCTTTTTCAGCTTCTTGGTCTTGATGTCCACCTCCTGCTGCAGAGAGCTGTAGGTCTCCTTCAGCTCCAGCGTCTCCTCGTCTCGACTCTCCATCTGCTGCTGCATCTCTCGCTCTCTGCGTTTCTGCAGGCACACACACAAGGACACACATGGTCACACACAGGGTCACCGGACTTTATTCTGTGGAAGGTTTAACAGCCCAGACTGAGACCGGGTCGTTCCACATTTCAGCTCTAATGGAGGCCGAGCCCTCTCCTCCTCCTGTTGCTTTTGGATTCTACCGTTTTTCTGTACACTTTGTGCACAGAGAAGTGGGTTAGAGACTCAATTCTGATGGTTTCTCATCTAAAAAACATTGTTTCTAATTGGGTCTGCATGAATCAGGGATGTCCCGATCCAGCTTTTTTCACTTCCGATCCGATCCCGATCTATCAGAGCATGTGTTAAAGTTTAAAGTTATTTATCTACTTACTTAGTTGTCAGACTCATGTTGAACAGGGTTTTACTCTGATAACAACTTAATGGTTAGGACACACACCTGTGGGTTACAGATGCTAATGCTAATGTGGGATCTGGATGTGAAAATATTGGTATGTTGGTTCAAATCTTCGATCAGAATACACTGTAATTCCTATAATTGGTTCCAAAAACCTACGAAAACTCTTTAATAAATACTGCAGATAATTACACATAGGAATAAAGCAAATCACTTATAGAAGAGAGATGGAAAAAGAAAGAAATAATCAATAAAAAGGGTTTTTATTGGCCCTTTCCAGATTTTTGGACTTCCGATCCGATCCCAAGTAGATAAATAACTTTAAACTGAATTAAAACAAAAAGCTGGTTATGGACTTCCGTAGTCCCGATCCAGCTTTTTCGATCCCGGCCTATCAGAGCATGTGTTAAAGTTTAAACTTACTTAGTTGTCAGACTCATGTTGAACAGGGATTTACTCTGATAACAAATGAATGTTTAGGACACAGACCTGTGGGTTACAGATGCTAATGCTAATGCTCGTGTGGTATCGGACTTTTAAACAAACTGGATCTGAAGTCTGGATCTGCATTTTAACCTGCCGGCCAATCGGGACAAGGCTAGTGAATGAATTTCTTCCTTTAGAACTGAATGAACTGGGACTGACTGGCCCATGTCTGAATTTGGCTGTAGAGTGAATCCCCCCCTCTCTTCAAACATCCTTCTCGCTCGTATTCAGAAAGCAGCCGTGATATTCAGCAGCTCTTTAGAAGCAAAACCCAGTCTGGGTTCTCCGGCCTGCGGGGACCGACGGGGGTGGGGCTGGAGCTTTGGTTCTTCTCCACTACACGCTCAGGTGTCTGCTTTACCTGTTCGGCGATTTCATGTCTTCTCTGCTCCAGCATCCTCTGCTGCTCGTTGGTGTGGTCCACGATGTTCTTCCCCCCCACCAGGAGCTTGCTCTCCATCGCCTGGAAGGTAGGGAAGAGCTTTGGATCAATAACGGAGGCCTTAATGCGTCTCACAAAAGGCTTTTGGATGCGTCTCATCTCTGTCCACAGACAGGAAGGCACTAGAGTTGTCAAAAGGATGGATACTCAAAAAATTATCGACACTAAAACGTTGCATCCGGATACAATACTCATTTTCTCTCTGATTTATATTATCTATTTATCTATTGAATTGGCGTGTTATTATTAGCCATTAGCCGCAGCTAGCAATTCAAGGCTAACGTCACGTTAATGATCATAAACAACGCAAATAAATAAATGACTATCGTATCCGGGTGCAACGTTTTAGTATCTATAATTTTTTGAGTATCGATACTTTTGACAACCCTACCGGCCACGATAACAACAAATTTAACCAAAAAAATATTTATTTCTCACAATTATGAAGGCTGGAGGGTCAGGGTTAGGGTCAGGTTTAGGGTCATTAATGTGGGCCACCATAACATCAGTAACAGGTCAGTTCGAAACCAAAGAGACTAACCTGTCAAAATTCAGTTAAATTTTGGGGGGGGGGGGTTTATCCTTGTGGTATCCAAAATGGTATCGAGTATTGAATATTTTCCTGAGTATCGGTATCGAGTTGAACATTTTAGTATCGTGAGCACCCTACCCCAGAGGCACATTAAACTAGGCTGGTCCCGATCCATGAAATTAATCTTGCAAACACTGAATTAAACTCTATCCATAATATTATGTTAAAATAGTGGATGTTAAATAGGTTTGTACAATAAGTCCAAACAAGTTTAACCGAAAAATATTTATTTCTCACAATTATGAAGGGTGGAGGGTTAGGGTTAGGTTTAGGATTAGGGTCAGGGTTAGGTTTAGGTTTAGGGTCAGGGTTAGGTTTATGGTCATTAATGTGGGCCACCATAACATCAGTAACAGGTCAGTTTGAAACCAAAGACACTAACCTGTCAAATTTCAGTTACATTTTGGGGTCTTTGTTTTTATCCTTGTGGTATCGAAAATGGCACAGAATTCTTTCCTGAGTATCGGTATGGAGTTGAAAGTTTTAGTATCGTGACAACTCTAGAGGGCACGCACCTTCACTTTGGCTGAGAGCATTTCTCCGGCCTCCTTCTCCCTCCGCAGGTCCTCCATCTTCCTCTCCTTCTCCCTGAGCAGGCGCGCCCTCTCCTCGGCCACCAGGCTGTGGTCGTCCAGGATGGCCTTCCTCTCCCTCTCCAGCTTCTCCTGCTGCTCCCTCCAGTAGTCGCCTTTGTCCTCGCCCTCCTCTTCCTCCTCCTCTTCTTCCTCCTCCTCCTCGCCCTCCTCCGTCTCGCCCTCCTCCCCCCTCTTCTGCCTCCTCCTCTTCTTCTTGCCCCCGCGCCTCTCCAGTTGCTCCTTCAGGCGGGCGATCTCCTCCTGGAACTCCCTCAGCAGGGCGTCCTTGGGGTCCTCGTTGACGCGCGGCTTGTTCTTGATGTTCTTGGCGCGGTTGGCGTAGCGCAGCGTGGTCAGGGTCTCCTCCACGTTGTAGGAGGCCGGCCCGATGTTGGCCACCATGACGGTGCGGGCGTTGCCCCCCAGGGAGTCCTGCAGGAGCCGGGTGAGTTTGGAGTCCCTGTAGGGGATGTGGCTACTGCGGCCGTCCACCAGGGCGGAGATCACGTTCCCCAGGGCCGACAGAGACAGGTTGATCTTGGTGGCCTCTTTGAGCCTCTCGCCCTGGGCTCCGGTTTTGGCCTGCCGCTCGCTTCCGGCCAAATCCACCAGGTTGAGCTTGCCCACGCGGATGTGGTTCTCTCCGTCCACGCCCAGCTCGCTGCACTCCACGGTGATGAGGAAGATGGCGTGCGAGCGCGAGCTGTGCTCGTTCATGTTGGTGGCGCCCACCGAGCGGTTCTGGTTGCCCACGTTCATGACGTGCTCGATCTCCCGCGCGCTCTTGGTGACGAACGAGGACAGGTCTTTGACGTAGACGCCCGTGTCGGGGCGCTCGCGGAGCTCCAGGCGCCGCGACTGGTCCTTGGAGAGCAGGTCCCGGATCTCCTCCTGGTAGATCTCCAGGTAGGAGGCCCGCACCAGGTACTGCTGGTTCTGGGAGCGCGAGATGTGCGTGAAGATGTGCTCGAAGGAGTTGGGGATCACGCCCCTCCTCTCCGGGTCGTTCCTCACGCCCTCCATGGTGTACGTCTTCCCCGTGCCCGTCTGGCCGTAGGCGAAGATGGTCCCGTTGAACCCCAGCAGGACCGAGTCCACCAGGGGCCGGAAGGTCTCGTCGTACAGGTCTATCTGCTTGGAGTTCCAGTCGTACACCGAGTCGAAGGTGAAGACTTTGGGGTGGGACGAAGCCTCTCTGGGGTTCCTGACCAGGATTTGGCCCAGTTTGACGTCCAACGAGACCATCCTCTCGAAGCCGGAGGCCCGCTCTTTCTCGTTCATGGGCCGGCAGCGGACCACCACCTTCACCGACTCGGAGCTCTTGCTCTTGGACATGGTGGGGAGTCCCTTCTTCCTCTTCCTCCTCTTCCTCCTCCTCCTCCACCCCCTCCCTGAGCCGCTTCAGGAACACTTCCCCCGTGGAAAAGCCCACATCTGAACCAAATCATAGATTACCGTTAGTGACATAACACCAAGCTGGAAGACCTTTCTCCCAATATGTGTCCAAATAAATCTTTAAGATAAAAAAACAGGCTGTGAGAATACATAGTACGTTACAGCTTGGGGACAAATTCAGGAGTAAAGACGGTTAACGGTTGAATTTTTGACTCTCAATGTTGAATTGGGCCAAGAGGCAACACCCTTAAATTAGCTGACCGAGTTTAGCCACTAACCTGATGCTAATCAAAGCCGGGAGAGCCGTTAGGTGACAGCCGTTGGGAGCCGTTTGTCGACCGTTGAAGTCCCAAAAAAACCACCGATAAACGACCAAATCCCTCTAAAACGACGATGTATCAACGCGAGAGGTCGGCTAACGTCAGCCCGACTCAAATACAGCCGATAAAGGGACCAAAACACCGGCCTAGCAACGGCAAACACAGCGGTAACCTTAGCAGGAGATTGATAGCATTACCTGGCTAACGCTATAAGCCCCCCACCCCAAAGCGCACAAACCAGCCGGAAAAACGCCGATTTCACAGGCTAAAACAGCATATTTAGGTTTGACACTTCCGAAAGGACGTGTGAGATTTACCAGTGGTGAACGTGTGCTAATCCAGAACTCCCATAGCGATCAATGGAGACGAGATTTCTTAGGAAGGATCCGCGTCCAGTCCGAAGGGACCTGCCGACGGCTGCGCGTTTCTTAGAGCATTTACGGTACGGGTGCTGGAAGTGGACAAACCTGGAATTGCGCCTCTCCTATATAAATCAGTTTCCTGTTTCCGGTATGTCCTTACAGGTGCTTCCCAACCAGGTACATAAAGCCAGTCATTTAACCGATGACTGGTGTGGTGGATGCTGTTCTTCATAAGTAATTTATAATACTTCATAATAATTTATATACTATTTGTTTAATTTCCAATGGCAATGTGGATTAAAATGGAAGAGATTGTGGCCTGAATGGACTTGAGCAGTTGGTTTAAATGCGCTTTGCCTGCAAATTGTTTGGTGGAATCAATTCTGGGCCAGAAAGGTAAGCTTTTCTTTGTAGTTTAGAGTTTTTAAAACAATAGTATGATAAAGATGTTAAAGAAAATGAGTAGAGCTTCTGGATTTGCAGACTTTCTGCAAAACTAAGTTTGGCTACAGAACAAATTTAAGTTTGAATTGACCGGATGCATCCTGTTTGTTTTCAATCCTTTTGTATTGATTGGTTGATTGGCTTAACTCCAAGAAAACCTGTTTATTAATATTAATATTTTGTATTTTATGTTTAGACCGAGTGAGTCTGTAGATCAGAAATTACTTTTAACCCTTATTCATTAAAATGTATAAATTTATCTTAACCATCGGCTTCGTCATGATTCGTATATCATCTGAATCCTTTGAAGTGGATCAGATTAAAAAATAATTGCACACAGGGGTTAAATATGGATGATTTTGAGCTCAAAATGATCAGAACTTTATTCAAAAGTATCCAAACGTTAACAAACATGCTGAAATTTAACAAGTATTCTTAAAACTGCACATTATTTCTCAAATTCCAGGACTTATTTAATTCAAATTCTATTTCCTTCTGCGATAGAAAGTTGAATCATTTCTGCTCTGAGCTGCTCACAGGTTTCCCCACGCAGGTCTGTTTAGAGGAGCACATTTTAGGATTTTAGAGGTTCAAATTGGGGGACTAGTCTACACGAGTGGGGATGGCCTCTCGAAAGAAGCTGCCAGGCTCCAGGGAGGGGAGAAATTCTGTCTCCAAAGTGGAGGAGAACCACTGGTCCGGCCTGGTGAGCGCCCTGAACCACCTGAGGGGGCAGGTGAGTGCTATAGTTCCCACCCAGCAGTTCTGGGTTAGGGTTAGGGTTAGGGTTTGAATAGGGGTCTTTATTTCTGCAGGGGGCCCTTTGTGATGTGACCCTGGTGGTTTTGGGGAGGCACATCCCCGCCCACAGAGTGGTGCTGGCCGCCGGGAGCCCCGTCTTCCAGCTCATGTTTACCAGTAAAGACACGCATTCTGTCATAAATATGTATATTTTATTAACCCTATAATGCCAAATGTGTCATATTTGATTCATACGGTTTCTGAGGTCTTTTGGATCTGAGACTTTTTGCATCATTCAGTGGTAAAAGCTTCAGATATACCTGATAACAGCCAGTAGAAGACTACACCAAAATAT